AAATACTTACCAATTGTGCACCGATGTTCTGATTATAACTTTAAACCATCGACATTATGCGTGATTCCCTTGAACCTTAGAAGATAAACAAACAGAAAACACTCTAAAAACTTCCACAAAAAACATGACACTTTTTAGATTAACTGACATGTTTCTGTATTAACGTCTGCCCATCTACAGATGTTGATATCATGATGCACAAAGTATAAATACCTGAATAAGCAATAGAATTAATGTAGCGTAAAATGAGAAAAAATAAGCAAAAGTTAACTAATTAGATGGAAAGCTTAATGTTAACGTGTTTTACCTGCGCATTTAGCGTGTTTTTCTCACTTAATATGTAAGGCTTCATTGATTTTAAGTTTGATGGTAGATGACGCCTGATCTATAATTGTAGTGAAACATTCTTCAGAAAATGCGAGAGAACAATTTTCTGAGCTTCGTATGCGTTTGTGAATATGTGAAGCTTTATCAGAATGTAGGTACTCATTTACTCTAGTACAAAAATGTCGGGTTGATTTCCCAGTGTAACAGGCTACACAACCTGATCATATAAGTTTATAAATAATGCTAGAGCGAAGTCCATTGCAAATGGGATCTTTCGTGCTAAAAAAAAAACTCCCAACCTTGCAAGGTGAAAATGCTAAACTGAGCGGTTGATGTCCTTACAATATTTGTTGGCAATGTTATTTAAGCGTTTTTGAACATTATTCGAGATGAGATGACCAATATATGGCAATTTATAGTAAAATGTTTTGAGATCCTGTTTGTTACTGGAAATGTTATTTTTGCTATCTACAAATTTTTCCGTAGGAAAACTTATACTGGATTACGCCAGTTTGTTATAAAAATAGTAGGAAGTGTGYTTCTAAACCGACCTTTTGGTAAATTTTTATTTATTGTTGAAATTTTAAGTCTTATAAACTCGGATCCTAATCTTACTCAAAGTTGTTGTTCGAGACTTTGCAATAGTCCCCTTCACAGTTTCCTGAGCCATCTTGAAAGGTAGCCGTGCCTTTGCATCGAGGCTAGACGAACGGTGAGCATGCAAAGATAAGGACGTTTTTTAACACCTTGGACAATTATTCGCATGCCTCTATCATTGCAAGCTGACCTTTCGTCTCGCTTCGATGTAGTGGTACGGCTACCTTTCAAGATGGAGCAAGGAACTGTGAAGGGGACTATTAAGACAAGTTTTTTAGTCAATAAATAACAAACAAATCATGTCTTTGTTTAATGTTTGTAGAAAGAATCAACAATGGAATAGACACGTTTTTGACCCAGTAACTGAACCTGAAACAAGTGGTGGTCTCTTTGTGGTAAACAAAAACAGAAATCTTGCTTTTTGACGTTAGTTTTTTATCATTAACCCCCCCAGATATATGTCTAAGTTTAACCAATTACGTATACATATCAGCATTATTTGGAACAGAAAGGAAACCAGGAAAGCATTGCACTGGTTGAGGCTAAGGTTTAGACATCAATCATGGCAGAAAAAAAATATAATTGAAAAGCAGAGATTTGATCGATTTGTGCAAGTAGTTACTCGTGTTTGAAAATAGATCACAGACAGTTTAAACTTTGTTTCTTCCAAATATGGAGTAACTACTTAATTACTTTTATCACTGCATATTAACTATATAATGCTTCTGAGTTTTGGAATATTCGTGTTTTGAAAGTTGGACATTTTTGTTTTGACCTTATTACTAGTACCTTAAAACATTGTTTTGAAGACGTACTATTGTCCTCCCCCTCCCTGAAACTAATAAAAAGTCTCTGGAAATGACCTTGGCTTAGGCTGTGGCAACGCCAGTCAACACCAAAACAGTCTTTCTCAGTACAACACTCACCTGGACCATCACACTTCACAACAATTGTATCATATATGTGCATATGTGTTGGATTAATGTTTAAAAATCAAACATTTATGATATGAAATAAATGAGTTGTTACTCCCATAAAAGTGAATGGCTTACTTATTCCTGTCTCTGCAACCTTTAGCACTGTGCAAAAAGAGTAATATTCGTTCAGTATACGCTTGAAAATGGATAGGCATACTTCACGTATTCAGGAGAATTCTTTGGTATTCACGCTCGAACAACGTCGCGTCATTCAAGGATCACTCGACTCGAATACAGACTTTTTTTTCCATTTTCGACTAGAATACTCTAGACTGAACTATAAGTCCAATAAACGCATACGGCAGAAAAAGTTTGGAAATCCGAGAGAATATTCTTGAACACATATAATGTTCGAACGTCTTCGTGGCAAACACGAATTTTCCCATAATCAGTCGATTTGTAAATCATAGAATACGAGCGATTTAGATGTAAGAAAAAATATCGAAATTTACATTTTGCTGCTTTTAGGTGCACTTCATACGTATTTCCTCTTAACTGCGGACCTCGCAATCATTATAGCAYAACATCTCTAAAAACCAAATGCGTTTTATATTTAACATTTATTTATGAAAGCATGAACATTATAGACAAGTATAAACTTTGACATTTTATTTCACCCTTTTCTATTTGACATCTTTATAAGCCTAAATATACCAGTAACCATAAAAATAGTTAAAACTGATTTTTTATTGTATCTTCTATTGCAAAAAAAACCATATATATATTAAAATTAGTTAAAATGAAGCACAAAACAATTGAAATAGTTTTTTTCTCGACTATATTATCCCTTTTTTTATAAACAGTAACAAAACAACAACATGTATTCATTTATAGGCTAAAATTTTTTTTCTTTGACTAACTTAAACATTAATTAAAATGAAACGAAAAAAATGTTCAAAATTGAAGGTAATGTAAAGCCTGTTTTTCACTAGCAATGCAAGCATGAGCGCAAATTGCTACTGTGAAAAGGAAACCATGACGTAAGCGTAAGGAAAGCTACATAAATTATCTCTCTCAATATGTGCCCTACTAGAACTGATGTAGTACTTGCATTGTTTTCTGTTTTCACAGGCAGCATTGAATGCAAGCACAAGATTATGTAAAAAGTCTTCTTATGCTTATGCTTGTGGCGCAGGTGAAAAGCAGGATTAACTAAATAATAGTGCTTATATGTGAGTCATCATTTTTTCATTCTTTTGTTTGGGGCCTTTTTGGTGATCATGACTTGGACCTGGTAACTCTGTTATCCTGAAAAGTAACAACAGTTTGTTCGTGTATTTATATTTATATGTATATTTTTTTGTGCTTGTTGTTGTGTGTGCTGTAATCTAATATCAATATATTTATACTAGTAATTATCATGTTAAAATGATGTAAACTTTTCATCATAAGATGCAAAAAGATGTAAATCGTAAAATAAATCATTAAAAAATTCTCTTGTAGCACACTTAGTGTGCTACTCTTTAAGTTGTAARTAAATATATAATAATAATAATAAATAAAATTAATTAAAAATTTAAAAAAAGTAACAACAGTGAAAATATTAGCTCGATAAAACCAATAGTCCTAGAACACACTTCCTAGAAATTCGTTATAAGCCATGATATTCAAAAGCTTGTTAGTTTACCTGTGCATTGGAGAATGAATTGTTGTTGGTTATCAGTCCAGAGATACTTCCACTCTTGCCCTAAAAAATAAATTGATTTTTAATAAGAAATAAAGCACTAATAAAGCATAATAATACTGATAATAATAATAAACATAAGGTTCAAAATAATCCCTGATAAATTTTGATATGTAAAATATGTGAAATTTGATATCAAGAGGACAAAGACAATAGATGGATTTAGCTTCTCTTATCTATTACCCATTTTAGTCCTCTTGGGAAAGGCAAACTTAATTGCCCTGAAACACTATGACGTCACATCAAAAAAAWMTATTGTTTTATCGCTAAGGATCATGGTCACCAGAGGGGGCAAAGTAGCAGCAAAACGAAATAAATCACAATAAAAATGGTTAATTAGATGGGGAAAGGTGATAACAGATAAATGCTGTACTAAATATCCCAAATGAAAGAAAATTTTGCCTAAAGCCTTATCACCCTTGCCCATGTAAACAAGCTGTGAGGTCATAATGTTATAGGTGAATTGGTCTATTATATCAATTATGCTGTTTGTATGTTATGAATTAAAAATAATAGTGAAGCATGAATGAAAGTAAACCACCATCTCCTTTACCCTGGGACAAAATGGGAATTAGGTTGGGTAACGTAGGGGACTTCAATGTTGGTAAGATAATGGAAAATTTAAGTAATGAAAAAAAAAAAAATAGAAAAAAAATTAAATTAATATTCCCTTTCTTATTTTTCAGAATTGTCTGTACCATCTTATGCACTGCAGCAGTCCACTAGTACCAGCAGCAGAATGTTGTAATTTAAGTTTATTTTCTCTTTACAGACAACAACACTCCGGATGAAGTTCATGTTGAAAGGATGATTGATGATGAGTCATYAGCAAGTRAAAKRTCTTCWMCARCTGCTAGTCCATCATCATCCTTTAKTGATGACAGTAGTGGTAAGTCATAATTAATTTTGTTCACTTTGCAATGTTTTTAAAGTTGAGCTAATACAATTATTATTTTTTGCTTAATTTACAGATCCAACTCCAATCCCTATTCCTGAATTAGATGTGGAACCATCCATTCTGGATGCAGATCCGAAAGAAAGCTCACTTGGGCCGGAGATTGTTACTTTCGAGATTGTCGAAGAAGCTTCTAAACAGCAAAGGGCAAAACTGGTTGACAGCAGGGGGTACAGTTACAATGTTAAAGAGAAGACTAAAAAAACTACATACTGGCAGTGCACAGTAAGAAATAAAAATATGTACTGTAAATCTACACTGAAACAGGTTAGTGACAATATTTATAGAGTKCTATGCATACCTTTTGCTGTTTGTTGTTTTCACTCATATATTAATTGATTTATTTTTTAACAGGTTGGCAGCACATTCACACCTGGCAAACAAGAACATAATCATCCAGCAGAAGTGGGTGCAGCCACTGTTGCTAAGATAGTTGCGGATGTCAAGAGAAAAGCTACAACCAATATCTTCAAGCCAGCCAGTGCAATTGTAGAAGAGGTATATATGTGTGATATCATGATCATAATGATAACCTACCATCATCATTAGTAAATTATAAAAAACAAAATATGTTGGTCAAAATCAACCTTTCTGCCTTTTTTCATTATAGGTACTTTCTGAAAGACTGAATGATGGCCCTTGTCMAGCACTTCCAAAGCCTGCCCACGTCACATAGCAGGTGCTGTCAACCGTTGCCGTCAAAGAATGATACAAGAATACCTCAAATACCTTCTTTTGTGAATTTCAAAGTCAATCCAGTGCATTTGAGTGTTCCTGAAGCTTTTTTGATAGCTTATTATGATAGTTGAACAACTTATTCATTTCTGGAGAAGACAAGACAACTGTGAGATCTCGTGGAAGTCGGAGTTGCGTTTCGACCATTGAGGAGAAACGGCGACTGTGATCATAAAATATGGCTCGATTTACTGGAATTTGAGCTTCATCGATTCGATGGAGTGTAAAAATTTCTTTTGGAAAACAACCAACTTGGTCTTATATCTGATGTGATCGGCGAAAAAGAAGTGGAGCGGCTTCTATAGCTGCGAGAATACCCATTTTATCTGCCGTTTGTTCTGCTGTACAGACGAAAATCGACCTTTGGCCGAAGAACATTCAAAATAACCGCAGACCGCCATCGACGCTGGCTCAACAATTGATGTTTTTGGGTTCCCTGTGTCTTTTAAAATCCGCTGACCAAATGAAGATATTTTGCTAAAGGTCACAACACAGGCAACCCAAGCTCACTATATTTATAAGAGAATGTATGGRGATTTAGAATATGCCGTATTTTTGTCGGAAAAACGCGAATAAAAGTGTGTCGATTTACCTGTTGCGTCAATTCGTTTATTTGGAACTCCTGTATGTAGTTTCAGCTAGTTTAGAAATAATGACAAAGTAGGAAGCTGCCGACCCGAATTCGATGTCACTGGTGTCCACTTCAAACCATTTTTCTAAGTAAATACGAATCCGATGAGGAATTGGCTTCACATGAGCACGAAGGAATAGTTTACCAATAAATCTGTGTGATTCAATTGGATCTAGCAGTAGTTTCGTACTTGCAGTCCTCCCTTAAACTTTAAAAAGTTACTCCAACGAACGCTTGGAATTCCGTGAGGACGGCTGGTCGTCCACCTTTCACGCTTAACGACTGAAAACCATACAGAGCTGTTGACTGATTGGTTACCGAGAACAATACTGAACAAAACATTTTCCGGTCCGGGGTATAGTGGGTAGGTAGGATAATGCCCCGTCGCACCATACCACCCCTCCCCGAGAGGTAAAATTTTGTATGGTTTTCAGTCGTTAAAGCGTGAAAGGTGGACGATCAGCCATTCTGGGAATAATTACCCTGGGGGGATTATGACCCCCCCTGCGGCCTAGGGGGTCTTTACCCCTAGATTGAGAGAGGATTATACCTCTCTCTGCCAGGCATGGCCAGTATGCTAATTGCTGTGATTGCGATTGGAGCCACTTAATTCATTGAGTGCTCCCATACTGGTCACTTTTGGGGATTATYACCCAGGAGGGGATTATGAACCCCTCTGCGGCCTAGGGGATCTTTACCCCTAGATTGAGAGAGGATTATWACCTCTCTTTGCCATGCATGACCAGTATGCTAATTGCTGTGATTGCGATTRRAGCCACTTGATTCCCATACCMCATTACCCCACAAACTATGTTGTTGTTATTACACAAATGGGTTGGGAGAATTAACCTATTGCTTGCATGATTAGGTTATCAATCGTGACTAATAAATTGCTATAATCACTGAGGATGTTGGAATTAACGACTTTGGGCTTTTTTTAGTTTTGTAAAAAAAAATGAAAAAGGATTAAGAAGCAAAATTCAAGAGGGAAAAAAATAAAAAAAAGAAGGAAGGACATCAAGAAAGCGTTGGGTGATGCTGATTTTAAGAATTAAGATGACGGTGATGCGATGAGGAGCAGAAGCAGGAGCAGGAGCAGGAGCAGGAGAAAACGACAACATCAATAAGGAATAATAATAATAATAGTAATAATAATAATAGTAATAATAATAGTAATAATAATATTTTAAAAATGTAATATACCTTTGCCCTAACTGTACTTTTTATAGATCACTACAGCAAATATGATAATTATCGTTATCAAGACAAACATTACTGCTCCACCAAATCATAATTTATTTCTTTTCCCATGTGCGTTGTTACATAGGGAATATATAATTGCATATTTTTCAAAGAACCCTTCTCGCGTTCCGTTGCGGTAAGTTGACACTGATATATAAACACATATATATAATACCATAAATAAAACAATAAACCATTAAAATTATGAATTAAAATTCCACGGGCGAGGCTCATTCATCACAATTCTAGCTTAATATGAGTGCGACCTCAATCATCATGCATTTCCACAATGAAAAAAATCTAGCAACACTTTTTTGTAATTTTTGACGTACTTGGTTTTCGAAACAAGATTGTGTGAAGATTAATTGTTTTTGCATACAAAGAACAATAAAAACCATTAAAAGGAATAAATGTTTTAAACCTGTTTGAGTGACATTGATGATGTGTTCATCATAACCAAGTAAATTTTCTGCTTTACACCTGTACGACCCATAGCTGCCTGCGTCAATGGTCACTAGTTCCAAGACACCAACACCAGTAACATTATGGGAACCTGTAGCTATTGATCGATTACGGGGATCATACCACGTGAACAGAGGAGAGGGCACGCCATGGGCCAAACAGTATATCCTGACTGTACCATTATTATATGAAGTAACTGTGTTATTCGACTGGACTACATCTATTTCTGGTTTTTCTGCGAAGAGAACGAATTGATTTTCCGATATGTACCCTCTGATATACGTTCAGAAGGTACATCGCCAACTATTCCGATGAAAATGCAGCCCGCGTGAAAATGCAGCGGTGTCACTTGAAAGTATTAAGC